TCAAATCAATCATAGACAAGGTCTAACACAGCATGGAAAGGTTTTATCCATTCATATTAACTGTTTTCTCCATGTATCCTTGTTAGGTATCATAGCATGGGTATGAGGCATTAATTTGGTTAGTTCTTTACTATATTTAGTTATCCCTTGGGAGTCATTTCACATTTGGGGGATCTTGCATGGAGTCTCCTTGTTTTTTTTTTAATCCTTGATACACTTATGGGTTTTGGCTCCAGGATACACTGACCCTGCACTGGGGCTAAGGAGGCAGGGAGTTTCTCTTGTCCCTGATACACCTGTTGGTTCCTGAGTCAGGCAGGCCCTGAGTCTGCCTCCTGACTGTAGCCATATCTGTCATCTCTCCAACTGATGGGGGAGGCCTTGGTTGGAAAAACTGCCTCCACCTCTAGTATAGCCTTTATCAGGGGAGAAATGCACCTTAATCTTTGGGGATTCTTAACCACCCCTGGGACAGTTTTTATTCTTTGAATGCCTTTTGTAAACTGTTCTTCTGGTTTTAGAGCCTTCCAGAAACTCCTTAGTACCAAATTTGGTTTTCTATCAATTTTTTCTCTGGGAATTTGGGCTTGACATAAGTCTTGTCATATTCGGCTTTGAGTAACCTCAATGGGCCGTTTTTTCTGTCTGGTCTTTTTTATATCTCTTGTAGGGTGTTCTGTTATTCTACAGACACGTTTTACATGCTGTTCAGAATCATTTAGATTTGATAAAGCCTCTCTCGCTTTACAAAGACCCTGCCCCATTAAAGGGCATAGCAAAACCATTAAAGCTCCATACCATTCTCAAGGTCCCAGTTGAATTAAGCTTTCCTTTATATCTCTGGTGAACATAGTCTTATCTGGCCCAGTGAACTGGGTATCATATATTGCTTTTCTCATACCTAGTTCTCTCAGTAATGCCATTCCCTCCTTTATAGTCCTCAAGTCTCTGTTAATTATGAGAGTTTCCCTTGGTAATGACCATGTATCTTTAATGCCTTCCACCAGCCATCCCATTAATGATTGTTCACTCCTGCATTGGCCTAGGTTGAACAATCTACGTTGCAAGGATGGATGGGTGGTTATATAACTCACCTGTGAAGCTTCTGAAGGACTTAGACTGATGTTATTTGCTCCCATGTCCCATACCTGCATGAGCCATGTGGTGAGGGGCTCTTTAATTCCTTGCTTGTACATTTTTCCTAGTTTTAACAGTATGGAGTATTTCCAGTATGTAGCTACAGTACTGTTAGCTTTTTTCCTTTTTGTATCAAAGGTTGGATCTGAGGGGCAGCTGTAGCTACTTTTATTTTTAGGTCGTTTCCTTTTTCATTAGTATTTGTCTTTTTTCTGGAGTCCTTGGATCTTACACAAGTTAAAATGTCCTGTGTTTTTTTGTTTTGTTTTGTTTTGTTTTGTTTTTTTCTCTCTCAAACTCTGCAACTAAATCTGCCAGGACTTCTCTAGCCTTTTCAGCTTCCCCTGCCTTGGACAAATCTTTTATTATGCAAAGTGGCCACGCCCCCTCTCGGTTCTCTTCTTGTATCAAAGGCCTGTAAAAGTTTTTCTAGCCTTTCTATAACCTTTAACAAATCTTCATATAAGGTCCATGGTCTTTCCCCAGGTCGGTAAATGCCCCCTCTCAAGTCACATGGACAAGACACCAGGGCCATTTTATCCACACCACCCACTTCCCAGATCGCACCAATGCTCCTCCCTCCACAGCTAACTCTCTGCAGCTCCCTCTCCATAGCCAACTCTCCACAGCAGACCCTGCCTCAGCAAATAAAGTAGAAAGCCGAGGAGGAAATCACTTGACATCAACCTCTGGCCTCCACATACATGTGCACACATAAGCATGCACATCACACCCAAACACATGCAAAATTAATTGAAAAGGTTCCTCCCCACCCAAATCATTCTGAAATGTAAGAGGTGGTTGAATTTTGACTCTCTGGGGATGTGTTTTTCCATTAGTCACTCCCAAGCAGTGTCCACAGCCTTCCATTCTTTTTGTTTGTTTGTTTTTGTTTTTTGAGAACTGCTTTCTTCGTTTTATTTCAAAAGAACACAAGGTCACAAAACTAAGAGCAAGTTTTTTGTTTTGTTTTTAAACAAAATTTGTTCTCACAAACTTAGGAAGTCATGTATCCTAAATAGGTTGCATAGACACCAAATGTGGTGATCATGTCCTCTGTCTTTCCAGTTGTAGTTTGTCAATATTGCCATCATTTCAAACTTAGAACTAATGCTATTATCAGAGGAATTTCAGTTGGATGCTCTGTGGTAGACTTTATAACTTGGTAAGATGGTACAAGAAGATCCCCAGATATAGGACAGAGATTTTCCAAAGTCCAAATTGGCCGTTACACTCTTGTCTCAAATATGGGTTGGTTCCTATCTGGCAAGGGTTCAAATTACCCCTGCCCATGTCACCTTCTTCTTAGATGTTAATAACAATATTCATTTTCTATTTGCATATTCAATTAACCTGAATTCAAGTAAAGGAAGCACTCTGAAGTTCAGTAGTCTCTGCCCTTTCTACAAACAGTTGCTGGGAAAAGTACAGGACCCCTTAACCTTGCCTGTACAAGACTTGTTCAAAATCAGGAAAAGTGAGGATCAAGGTTTTGGTGTCAGGTCCTGAATTTCGACTCCAGGACTTAATCCTGTCCCTATTTTCTTTTCCCATTCTAAAAGTCATCCAGATCCTATAAAAATCAAAGGCTATAATGTAAACAGACAAGGTATTTCCCCCAAAAGATCAGGAATTACACATTTATACATTGAGAAGGCTGCCAGCAGGAAACTTATGGTAAGGGTACTTACAGTGTATAGATTTGAATTTTCCCAGGACATTCTATACCATTAAACAAGATGCTTACTAGTAAAACATGAACTTCTGGGGTTCCTATTCAGAGAGGCTGGTCCATGCAGTTCTCACTTATTGATTTCCATGGAAACCCTTCATCATTACCTAGATAAAAGACTTAATTGTTCTTCAAAAGCAATGGGTAATGAGGTATGGGAGACAGGCTTGAGCCTAGGGTGATATCACAACTGTCAGGGTCACATGGTTTCCAGGAATCCAGGCTCTGTAATCTGAAACCAAGTATGCTAATGAGGCATCCTACCCTCTATTCTGTGATAGGACGTTAAGTCTGTTATGCTAATAGGATGATGCTAATAAGGTATCCTACTTGCTGTACTGTGATAGGATGCTAAACCTGTTATGCTAATAAGGTATCCTACTTGCTGTGCTGTGATTGGACCACTACCCCTATATAAGCTTGTGCCTTCCTGCAATAAAGCAGACCTGTGTCACTGAACCTGGTCTCCTGTGTCTGAATGCGGCTCCACTGACACAGTCTCCTCACCAGCCCTGGGGTCTGGGACCAGGCAGAAGCACTGACAACAGGAGGCAGCACAGGGCAAGCAGAAGAGCTACCTCAGCACCAGGCAAGCAGAAGAGCGGCCTCAGCCCAGGGCGAGCGGAGGAGCAGCCTCGATGCCCATGAGAACGAAGGAACAGCACCCACGAGAACGGAGGAGCGGCCACTGCTGGCAGTGACGGCAATGAGGTACTGTGTGAAATATTTTAACTAAAATCAATATCAAAAAAATGAAGAGAAAAAAATTATATATATATATACATATATATATATATGTTTTGTTAGTTTTTTTTGAGAGGGGGTTGATTTTTTTTCCTTTTGAGACAGGGTCTCCTGCAGCCCCAGCTACAGGTCCAACTTTGATCCAAAATTCTTCAAGTTTGCCATCCAGTCTTGATATTCTGTCTTCCATTTACTCTATTTGTGAGGCTTTCTCTTGTAGTTTCAAAATGACTAACTGAATTTTTCTGTTACAGAGTTCAAGATCGCTGGGAAGACCACTCAGACTCAAAAAGTTTCCAATGAACAGAATCTATTTAGCTGGCCAGGACAGCACTCTCTGAACAAATTTTGAGAATGCCACCCTAACTGGAAGAGGATGGGAGCTTTTACAATTTTATTAGAATTTTAAAGAAAAATCCTCAGGGCAGGAAAGCTGGTAATCTTGGCAGCTGCCTTGAGGACAAGAATGGTGGGGAGAAGGAAAGAAAGCCATGAAGCCATGCAGGTTTAGAGCCTGCATGGAGGTCAGATGTGGATGATTGACAGCCACATGGCTGGAAGAAGGAAGCTTTACAAAAGGTAAAGAAATGCAAGGGGTGGCCCAAAGCCTTAAAGTGTGTTTAGAAAAGGGATATGAAGAAGAAAAGGAGAAATTACACCTTTCTGAAGAATTCAGAAAAGCAGGCAGACTTACACAGACACGTCTCATTAATGCACTAGTCTACCCATCTATTTAGCATAACTTAAGGTGAACCCACCTTCCTAGGGGTGGTCCTATGACCAGATGATTGACTATTGAAACTGGAAAAGTGGGTCTTTCAACAGACTAGAGATTTTATAATTTTGACCAGTTAAATTTATGGGGCTATTTCCTACTCTAATGCCAGGATTATATGGGGGTGTTCCTCAGATCTTCCAGGAACTTCTGGCCCCAGGCCAGGTAGGGTCTGGGATGGCTCACCAAGATGTCTTATGCAAAATGGAGGAGCTTTGGCTATTACATTTCAATTCCAACTTTATTTTAACCAGGGTTTTCTCCAACATATCTCTTTTGTGAATTCACTTTCCAAGTCATGAATTGCTTTTGTCATTTCATTCAGCTGTATTTTCTTGAGCTTCAGTCAGGAGTTTATCCCTATCCTCTGTGAGTTCTTTCAATTGTTTGTGTGTTCTTTAAGTTCTTTGATAATGTTTATGATTGTTCTTTTAAATTCTGCATCCTAGTCTTGGTGTTCCTCTGGGTTGTTCTCATTATAGTACACTTCTGTAGGTCTGGTGGGTTTGTTGGGGATTGATTTGGTTCTGAATGTAGTAATCCTTCTAAAGAAGAGTCTGCCTGTTTATAACTTCATGAAGCACTATAATAAAATTTGTTTCCCCTTAATAGCTTCTCTGTTGCTCATGAATACATTGTTGCTATGATGTGGCTATCTATGTCTTCCAAAATTCACTTGTTGAAACCTAATACCAATGTAAAAGGCTTGGTGGACTGGGGAAATGATTTGGTGCATAAAGCACCTGCCATAGAAAAATGTGAAGACCTGAGTTTAAATCCCCAGAGTGCATATAAAGTCACATGTGGCAGTGAGAGTTCATAATCCCAGTATTCCTTCAGCACGGTGGGAGATGGAAAAAGCATATGCCCCAGAAGCTGGTGGGGCAGTCAGCCTGGCACAGGCATCAGAAAACAGACTCTACCTCAAACAAGGTGAAAGGCAAGGACCAACATCAAATGTTGTCCTCCAGCCTCCACACATGCACCATGGTACATATGTGCCTGTACTCACATACATGAGCAGAGAGAGACAGAGATTTGAAAAAGAGATAGACCTTTTAGGAGTTAATTAGGTCATAAGCATGAACCCTCATGAATGAGACCTTTGTAGTCATAAACAACCACACTCAACTTTCTCTTTGAACCCCATCTCCTTGTATTAAGGAAACCTAAGCAACCATCTTCCCTTTGGAGCCCAAATGGGAATTCTTTCTCTAATCCTTCATTTTCCTTTGCTTCTCCAGAACTTCATGGTTTGGGGAAACACTCAGGCTGAGAGTTGGGTGTAAAATATCAATTATCATGCTCAAAAATTCTTTCATTGGGAAATACTATCTTTGGTAGATTTTTGGTTGGGAAATACCAGTCATAATGAAATGAATTAATACAGAGATTATTATATATGATTTCATAAGAGATGCACTGAAGGAATGAAGGCATGACTTTTATTGAAACAACAACTCTGGTTTTTGTGGTCATATAAATAGTTCTGTGGATTTCTTTAAATCACACTGTTCTAGTAAGCTTTACTGTCACCTTGATACAGCCTAGAGTCATCTGAGAGAAGAGCCTCAGTTGAGGAATTTCCTAGATCAGATTGATCTTTGGGCATGTCTGTGGAGGTTGCCTTCATTGTTAATTGGTGATAGGAGGGCCGAGTCCACTGTGGCAGTACCATTCCCTTGGGAAGTGGTCCTGGGCTGTATAAGAAATCCAACTAAGCATGAGCCTATGTGAGCCAAACAAGTAGTGCTCCTCTGTTTGTGCTGTACTTCCTTGAGTGTGCGTGAGTTCTTTGGTCAGGGATGATCCTATGTGGAACAGACAGCAGACCTGCCTTTAAGTTCCTTCCTGAGTTCCAACCTTGACTTCCTTCTTGAGTTCCTGCCTTAACTTCCTCCAGTGATGGGACTATGACCTGGAATTGTAAGCCACATAAACCCCGTCCTCCCTTAAGTTGCTTTTGGTCATGGTATTTGTCACAGCAGCAGAATGAAACTAGAACACATACCTTTCCTAATATTCACCATCTGCATTAGTCAGTGTTGTCATTGCTGTGGCAAAATACCTGATAGAAAACAACTGAGAGAGGAAAGGTTTCTTTGGCCCATAGTCTCAGAGGTCTTGGTCTCTGGCTGGCTCCATTGCTAAGGCCTACAGTGAAGCATGGCATCATAGTGGTGGAAACATGTGGCAGAGGAGGCTGCTCACCTCTGGAAGCCATAAAACAGAGAGAAATAGAGAGGGGTGAGGGGCAAGGCATGCCCTTCAGAGATCCCCAGTTGACCCACCTCCCCCAATATCTCCATCTCCTAAGTCTTTACCATCTCCCACTAATACTGTCAAAGTTCAACTTCAATGGATTAATCCATCGATGAAGTTACAGCCCACACTAACCAATAGTTTCTGAAGAGCCCCATCAAATGGCAACCAAACCTCAGCACATGTGCCTTCCAGGACATTTCAGATTCACACCACCACACCACCTAAGTTAGATATCGTTGGCCTCAGTCTGAGCAGATTCACGTTAGTGGCAAAATCAACATTCTTGGTGAGCCATTTCACTCTTACTCCATTATGGCTGATGAAATACTTTTGATAAGAATCTGAAAATTGGGCTGATGGTTTAAACAGGTAAATTTAGATGGTTAAACAGGTAAAGATACTTGCTGTCAAGTCTGACAATCTAAGGTCAGTCCCCAGAACCCACATGGTGGAAAGAAAGAACCATCTCCTCCTGTAAGTTGTCCTCTGACTTCCACACACATGCTGTGGCACACATACAAGTATATACCTACACACAATGAATGAATGAATGAATGAATGAATGGTGATAAAAATGTTTAAATCATTTACAGCTAAAAATTAAACTAGAGGGGCTGGAGAGATGGTTCAGTGGTTAAGAGCACTGGCCACTCTTGCAGAAGACCTGGGTTTCATACATAATTCTCATGTATAGATAGGTGTTAAATTTTCCCTAAAACCTTAGTTTACTGGAAAACAAAGTTAAAATAAGTCCTTTCTGGTATAGCTTTTCCTCATAGACATATGACTACCCTCATAAAAGGCAAAATGAGAATGAGAGACTGAAGAGTGCTTGTCCCTGAGTGGGACACCAACACCAAACCTCCACCACCCAGGGCTCAGGGACCATTGCAGAAGATGAGGCAGAAAGACTGTAACAGCCCAGGGTGATGGAAACACAAGGAAACAGTGTTTTTCAGACAGCTGAGAAATTGCTCATATAACTTACAGCAATGGTGACAGCATGCACAAGACTCATACAAGCTCAAACCAGACAAAAACCCAACATAGAAGTAGGGAAATGGGTAAGAAGCCCCAACCTTAGCTAAGGAACTATTGACAACCAATTTCTACTGGGAGAGGGAGAGTTGGTCTTCTTTAAGGGAGTAATGTTAGATAGGCTGACCAGGCTACAGTGGATAGACTCACATTGAGGGACATTTAGGGACACAAACTTATCTTGATAGGCCTTAACATATATGACAGAATGCATAAAATGTGGTAGTGGGGGCAATGGGGAATGGGTCTAAATATGATCAAGATGTATAGTATGAAATTTGTAAAAATTCAATAAAAAAGAAAAATTCTGAAAAAAAGAAAATGTGCTGATAGGTTGACTCAGTCTTGCCTAAAGAAGATAACTGCTCACAAATGAGTGAAAGTTATCATCATTTTATGGGGTGCCCATAGGCAGCCGAATGGTGCCATTAAGGGTTTTCACACCTCTTTCTTGCTCTTCTAATGTTTAAACAGGAAGCTATGGTAGAACAGAAAGAACTCAGATTTTTAGTGTTATTCATGACTTTTTCAGTCAATGCCTTGTGAGAAAAAAGTGGGGAGGGGGGTTCCTATAACTTTCAAAGTACATTGAATAAAGACTGTTCTGTCACTCAACATCTATCCAAAATGCCCTTAGCTGCCTTTCCTGCAGATGGTGCTGTTTAATAGACTTAGAATGAACTAAAAGGGACCTTTGAGAGTAAGGAAGGAAATCTGGGTTGAACTTTCAATTATTTAGCAAATACATGAACATCTACTCCCATTTTTTCATCAAATCTAAAATGTCATCAACTTTAGATATAGCATTATTTTTATCAAGATTAAAGAAACTTGGATCTTTTTAAGATTATACAAGTTACCAATTCACATCTGATACACTTTATACCACAGAGTCTTTGAATCTTCATTAAAATTGAAGAACTCTTTCGGACATCTCTAATTATATCACTCTTACTCTGCATGCAAAAGCAAGTACAAGGCTAACTGGATAAAGTAATTACAAAATACTTTCATACTGAATCAGGCTCTTCTAAATCAATTCTTAGCTCACAGTCAACACTGTCCCTGCTTCCCCAAATACTTACTATCCTTTGAGCCATCAGGAAAATTCATGACACAACATCTATTAAAAGAATGTTCCACTCCTATCTCCATAATTGCCTCCTTGCTAAAGTATCTACAGCTCCCCAGTCTGGTCCTTAGAGGTTTATATTAGCAGCATTCAATAAGCACCTAGCTCTTGGGGTGAGAACACTTTGATAGTGTCTGAAGTGAGTCTTATGCAGAATTTCTTTAGGAACTTGAGAGGTGTCACTCATGCTTCATCAAGTGACAATATCAAAGGAGTTGTCAGACCTCTGATGTTAATGGAAGGAATATATAAAGTAAAACTTTGAGCAGAGCTGGTGATAAAGCACCAAAGCAAGGAGCTCAGCTAAGAAAATGACTAAAAAATAAGTCAGGAAGGCACAGAGAAGGTTAGTGAGGGACCATCAAGGTGGCTCTGAACTGGCAGGCCAAGTTCAGCACCTAGAACTAACACCAGGGAAGAAGAGAATCAACTCCATAAATTTGTCTTCTGACCTCCATGTGGGTACATGTGCAAGGGCGCGCACACACACACACACAAAATTAATTAATTAATCAATCAATTAATTAAGCAGTAAAGGATAATGAGACACAAACCAGGTAGAGTAATTAACCATATTGCATCATTTCCAGAGACATTTGTAAACAGGGAACTCACTGGTTAGGTTCACACAAATTAGCCATTAATATCAGCAGCAATTAATCTTGTCATAATCGCTAGACTGGAAACTCTGTCACTCAATCAGTTACACCACCATTAATCCAAGATTTCCTGCCTAAATGACAATATTCCAAATTTGTAAAAAAGAATAAGAAGCCATCTTCTTACCTACAGAGAGATGTTCACTCACTTTACTAAAGCTGACAGCAGGGTCTCAGGAAGCAGGAGGAAAGCTTGGCACAATTTTATATTGCTCAGATGTAAGCAGTCACCCCAATTGGAACATGGAGACTTACATCACTGTCACCAAGTATCTAGAAAATAGCACTTTTGTCCTTATACTAAAGAATGCACATGTGTCCTATACAATTAAGATCTTTTCAAAGTCCATAGACCCAAATCTTCTTGGGAGCCTTTAAAGTTCCTGACAGGATGTCATGCCTAAGACAGCTGACTTCTAGGAGTCTTTGTCAGATCAGTTTAGAGATGACACTAGGCTTTGTGCTAATAGAGGGAGCTCTTTTTGTTTCATAAATCATCATTTCAGATTTAAGATACATCCTCCAGGCAGTACGCCACATGCCACCCCTTCTTGGCACTGAAGGAGCTACCATAGACTAGAAGGCAGTTGTCCATACAAAAGGGCAAGTCCAAAAGAATCCGTATCTAGAGACCATCCTAGACTGTGTGGAATTCCACCCTCCAAAGCAAATTCTCAGTTAATTAACCACAGAGATCAAGTCTGAAAAGGCATTTTAAAAATATTTTAT